AATTTAAACAGTTTATATATGATGTATTAAAGTAATTTCAAAAAGTAGTTAGGATATGATGCAAAATTGTAAAGATAACCAAATATTTGTTCCCATTTATTTACCACGGTACATGACCTATGTGCCTCTAGTGAACACAGATCATAAAACTTTGAACTCCTTCTGGCAGGCTAAGCATGTCTGTGGAGGAGCTTCATGAGGAATGTGTGACTGCAGCACCTCACCACAGAAGCTCGGGAGAAGGTGTCAGTCCAAGGAAACAGCAGAGAGGTGGATGCACGTTCTTCAGGCAGCTGACCTCCCCAACATCCAGCTGTTGTATCCTTTGTCCTCATCCCATCTTCCACTGGATTTTGTGGAAATGATTTTCTCTCATGACAAATAAGTGGACTGATGTGCAAAACAGATGTTCTTCTGAACTAATTAGAAATGAGCTCATTGTCAGTCTAAATGATGAAACGTCTTGCTCAGAGTTTTACTCTTAGGCTCTGAAAAACAAAGCACTCCTTACTGCGGCATGAACTCTGCACAAATACATATGGAAGAAACTGGTTGACCCCACATGATGGAGCATTGCCCTTTTTAGTGTACAAATACTTTTTTTACTGCACGTGGAAAGTCCTGACTTTTGAGGCACAATGTGTTTGTTTACAAATTTCCTACAAACTTTATGTTTACACTAAATGCATTATTACACAAATGTTCTTATTGTTTTCTGTTAATACTGTTTTAAGCTAAGCAGAGCAAAATAATATTTAAGAAAGATCAATTCTTTTGAGAAATATTTTACTCTGGTAATTCTATTTGCACTCAAAATAAATTGTTAAATTGTGTACTAGTTAACGCTCTATGCATACTTTTATCATTCAAAAACATGCATCCAGTTAAATTCAGGTTCATTTCAGAGCAAGAAGAGCAGAGGGGGAGGGACCCTGAGGTCATCAAGGTCTTTTCATGATCTTTTCCTTGTAGACCATGTATTTTGAGATTCCAGCGTCTCTTGTATCTCTCCAGCTCTGTTTTTCATTTTGTTCTTTATTTTCTTTTGTGAGTTGGGGTATTATTTTTTCAAAGTCTTTTACTTTAGCTTTGCACTCCTCGATATCGGCTGCATTCATTTCCACCAGTTTAGCAATGCTAGTTACCATCGTGGAAGTTATGGTCAACTGCTCCCTTCAGTGTTTGCGGTCACATTTACAAATGCTTCAAGAAGGATCTCATTTGACTGGACCTGGGTTGTTTTAATCTTATTAGGTGGAATCGTTGATTTGGTTGGAGTAACAGGTGATTTTTTTCTCTTACCAGAGGGGTTAGAAGTTTCCGTCGGTGTATAGTCATGTTCAGCCACACTAGCTTGGGTTAAGTTTAGCTTAGCATTAGCTTTCCCACTCGCCATGTCTTAGTTTGAGTATTTGGAGTATGTGCAGATTTTTCACATGAAGTAGACAGACTCACTTGAAGATATACACTTTTTGTTTGTCTGACTTTGCTGATGTTGGTATTACACTTGAATTCCGGGGCAGCAGGGTGCGAGTTCAGAAGAAGACGTCTGCTAGATCCGCCATCTTGTCGGTCTCCTCGATGGTCGCCATTCTTACTGATATGCAAAACGCAAGCGCCAGAACAAGCGAGAGAAATGGATGGACTGTCGGAATAGCAAGTGCAAGACTCCTTACGTTGAAAAGCTAAACAAAGATGCAAAGGAGCGCTACATCGAGAAAATAAGGGTAATTCATGGGCTTGATCCATACGAACACCGTGCGTGGACAAGTGATTTGAACGAGCTACTGCCATTAACGTTTCCAGATTTGTTTAGCTACCTTGTTTGTGGAGTGAGCGCCTACACATTCAGCAGTTCAAGAATTATAAATGGAACTGGGTAACTGGGTTACAACCAGTGGGACAGAGTACAGGTCGGGACTAATAATTTGCAGTGACATTCAACATGAAACGCCTGTGTTTTACAGAATAGAAAAAATTATTGTTGTTCATGGTGTTATCTGGTTCCTTGTAAACAACTTGTGGTTGACCATTTCAGTGAACATTTTCATGCTTACAAAGTATTTGAAATTAATGACAAAGATGTTGTTAAAGCAGACGGTCTTGTGATTTATAAGCCATTTGACTTACAAAGTGCTTATGGTGGAGATGAGAGCCAATATATTGTGTCATTGTTTTCTTTGTAAATGTTTAAATTGTGCCTGATCTTATTGTACTAATTCCTACGGTGCTGTGCTGTAAAGTACAGCGAGGTGATGGGCCCCGTGGCCTCAGTCCTTTCTAGGGCCCTCTTCAATCTCAGCACCACAATCCTGCAGAGGAGAGGACAACAACTGACACTAGGCTCAGTACAAAGTTCCTGTCGCTCCAAGAGAATATAGTATTGTCTTTGATGCTCTCCCATCTGGTTTGCTCATGTTGTTTAAAGATGTTGACTTCTCTTCTATCCAGTCTATGAGTCCTCCTGACCCTAAGCAGTCTGCTGTTGGTACGTTCTGTTTCTCAGTTCAACTAAAAGGCGTCAGTTCCAAAATCCGTTCTTTATTTCAAGAACATCTGGTTTCATCTCCATCTTGTGTTTCCTATTGGAACACCTTTGTGCAGAATCTTAATTGGAAAAAAGTTTGGTCTCTCCCACATTTTTCTCCCCCCTCTCTAGTAAAGTCAAAGACGTTTATTTTAAATTAATTCATAAATTTCATCCAACCAAACACTTTTTTCAGAAATACAAAGCTGATATTGATATTTCGTGTTCATTCTGTAAGCTTTGTCCAGAAACATCTGTTCATCTTTTTTGGAAGTGTACATACTCACAGAACTTTTGGAAGGACATTGTTGCTCTGATATCCAATAATATCCAACCAGGTTTCCTTCTCTGTTTTGAAAATGTTCTGTTTGGTATCCTAGATTTCAAGACGAAAGACTCCTCTCACGTCTTTATGATCAATCTGATCTTGTTTCTTACTAAGTTCCATATCCATAAAAGTAAAATAACGCATAGGAAACCTTTTTTTGATCTCTTTGTAATGGATGTAAAACTGCATCTTGACTCGGTCTCAGACTCAAATAACAAAAAGGCTATAAAAACAAAAAAACATCTGTAATGAATACAACTTAACTTTGTAACTCGCATTTATTTATCTTTGTATTTTTTATTAAATTTTTTATTATTGTTTGCTTCCTTTTTTCTTCTTTCTTTGATATGTTCTTCAATGTGTATTTTTTAGATTGTTTTATTTGAAGTAAAGTTGTAAATAAAGATTTGAAAAACAAAATTGAGGGTGACGTAGCGCAGCTTGACCACACAGTGGCGCTGTTTCACCATGGAAATAATTATACCTCAGTTCTTGGTATGGAAGTTGTTACATTTACAGTGGTGGAGAAAGTACTCAAACACTGTACTTAAGTAAAAGTACAAATAAACAGACAAAAATGTACTCTAGTAAAAGTAGAAGTACCACATTAACATTTTTACTTAAGTAAAAGTAAATAAGTACTTGCTTTTAAAATACTTAAAGTATTAAAAGTAAAAGTACTTGCTGAATTATTAATGCAATGGTCTACATATCGTTAAGTGTGCCTACCATATGTATATTTTGTGTAATACATTAATAGTGTTGAGTCATTTTAATGAACGATGCTGCAGATAATACATGTTTTTATTGTGTTTACTCTGTGACACAGTTCACACTTGGACTTGTGATTCTGTGTGTCAGAATTTCAGGGATGACCTGCAGAGTTAAATGCCATTAAACAAAATAAAGAGGAATGATTTTACCTTAGAAAATTTTATTTAACACAAAGCAAAACCAATGTGCCATTTTAACTGCAGTAAACATGTTTAAGTAAAAGTTGTCTGCTTGAGCAAAAGGGGCATTAGACACAACTAACAAAGGAACATGCTCTGATCATTTCAACTCCAATGTGTCATCAGCTCTAATTAAAATACTGTCTAGTCGACCTTGTAATGGGTCAACAGTGAACAATATTTTAACTTGGTATGGTATAAAGTTTATTCATTTAAATAAAGTACAAAACAATTCCATAACAATATAAAAAGATACAAGAGATTTTAAATGAAAGGCAGCAGAAAGAATGAAAACATCTTATTATATCTGCCCCTTTTTTCAAACAATTATTTCAATCATAATTATCTTCAAGTAACAGAACAAAATAAATAACTCTTTCTAATTTTTCTAATTTGAACACAAAAAACACACTAAGCTACTTCATATATACTTTTTTAACAATTCAGCTTTGATCTTTTCTTCCTGACACCATTTTCAAAACTTGGACCTGAGCGTCGAGACATTTGGAGACATCTCTTGTCTCCTGTCCTAACATCATGAACTGACACATTTTAATACTGCAGCAAGAATTTCTTGTTCAAGTTCAGAAGAAGTTGGTTTCCAAAGTTTTTTGAGTCCAATCTGGCTCTTTTTGGAGAGAGAAGCTGTCCTGTTGTACCGAGTAGTCTTTCAATAAGGCCATGGGTGGAGCATATCTTCTGGCTGACTCTCTTGCAGTGAAATACATTTTGGTGTGTTAGTGGTGCTGTGGGTGCACCCAGCTTAATGATGTATATAGTAGAATAAGTCATTGGCCCAGCTCTTCTTGAAGGTGGGCCTAACGTTACCTGCCCACTTTGCAGTGATTCAATGGACCAGCTCCCCTCTCACCATTGGTTACTTTCAAAGTAACAAACAAATCAAAAAGCTGCAACATGAATGTAACTTGTAATGCAGCGCATCATAGAAATGTAGTGTAGTAGAAAGTACAGATACTTGATGTACAATGTAGTGGAGTAAAAGTATAAAGTACCCACATTTAACTCTACTTAAGTAAAGAACAGATACATGAAAAATGTACTTAAGTACAGTAACAAAGTATTTGTACTTCGTTACATGCCACCACTGTACCTGACACATTGTAGTAGGACCTGGCTGCAGCAAACAGAAGGTGCTGCAAGGGGCAGTCGTTTTATTTTGAAACTCAGAATCGGAAGTGTGAGTGTTTGGATGCCGTCACTTCCTGCAGCTAATGTTTACAGTAGTCCATGTGGTTTCTTCTACAAGAGGCAGAAATAATTCAAATAATGTCGTGAGTGTTCACTGAAGGAACGACTGAATACGGCTTTTATTTTTGTCAGCGTTTGTTTAAAATGGCGGAAGAAAGTCAGCCCGTTTCTAGGAACAAACACGCTGTTTGATACCTTGACCTTTGACCTTTGTGTATGAAACAAGCTCGAGACGTTTTAGAACTCAACAACACCACAATTAATTTGCTCACCAGAACACACTTCTTAATAATTGTCAGCGTTTGTTTATTCTGAAGGAAGTGGCCATCAGCTGTATTATGATAATGCAGGCAGGCGAAGGCGGACGATCGTTTTTGTCTGTGTGTCTGTTAGCAAAATATCTCATGAACCAGTGAACGAATTTCAATAAAACTTGGAAAAAGTAATAAATGAATACACAACTGCAAATATTTACCTTTTGGAGCCAACCTGATTCAGAATGGCCGCTACAACCAGCTGAACTTAAAAAAAGGCAACAATTGCTATAACTCGGTCAATGTTACAGATGTTGTTAAAATTTGGTGTGGTAGTAGCTGAGCATCATTCACACACTATACTCCTCCAAATGTTTACTGAGCTCTTTTTAAAAACTTTAGTATCGACTGATTGAGTATATCACTGGATGGATTTAACTGAAATGTCACCAAAGTGATCATTTAAAGTACATCTACAGCTGATTAACTTTTGTAGTCAATAAAAGATGGCTACCAAAGCTAAACAACACTAACAGACACATTAGACCCTCAGGGCTGTGTGTTGAGCCCCCTCCTGTTCACTCTGCTCACATGACTGCGCACCTTCCATCCAGGCTGTCGTATTGTAAAGTTTTCAGACGATACAGCGGTGGTTGGAAGCATCACAAACAATGAGTCCGGCTACAGGCTGGAGGTGGAACATCTGGAGAGCTGGTGCTGGAAGAACAGCCCTCACATTAATGTGAAGAAGAACCTTGAACCTTGAGAAATGGTTTTAAATTTGTCAGTTTTACATATAATTTGACATGAAAGGGGCTGGGCGATGTGCATTACTTCAAACAAAGCTATTATTTAAAAAATACAAAAAAAAAAACTTTATACCTGTATGTATTTATGTGGAATAAGTTTACCCTAAGTTGAGTTGGAAAATTTGACTTTAGGACATACTCTGTAGGTAGAATAATGTTTTCAGAGCATTTGAATCTATTGTTTCTATTTTTCCCCTCAGTGTGATCCTTGAGGACGACAAAAAGGAAGCGTTCAAGAAAAGTGAGAATGTTGCTTTTTACAGGTATGTTAAGCATTTTGAAGTAATTACACAAAGTAATGAGTACTTTTCAAACAGTGGATTTAGTGTTTTCTGTTGATAATGTATTGGTGTACAGAACTCTTCTAATCTTGTCACTTTTAAGGCGGCAGATGGAGGGTCCAAATATGAAGCACCGGGCCCTTTTAGACACCGTGGTCCTCACAGAGAAGGGTGCACACTTTGAGTTGTTGGAACTGAACACACAGGTCAGTCTTACTGAAAGGTATTCTGACAAGTGGTATATTTGCATTAGCATTAGCATTTTAAAAGTCTTTAAAAATGTAACATTTCCAAAAACTTGGCAATAAACAGACTGTCCAAACCTACAATAATGAACCCTATTGGAACTGTAATATAAGGAAGATAAATGTGCTCTTTAACAGTCACTTTTTTCACCTTCATACCTTCTTCTTTCTACAGACCAGACTGCTTCTTTCTTTGTCACCTTGCAAACATGATACTGTAAGGATATTAATAGATGAACTGCAGCCCTTCAAAGCTCGCTACAGAGTTGCAGATGTGATGATTGAAGAACCTCAAAGTGAACAGTAAGAACCTCCTCAGCATCGTCCTTTCATTATAGTTTATACCAGGGCTATTCAACTGGCGACCCAGGGACCAAGTCAGGCCCACGGGTGAACTGAGTTCGGCCCACCAATGGGTTCATTTTTAAATAAAACTAGATTTTAAACCATAAAACAAACAAACTTAATGACATAACTGCTGGATGTCTGGCCCCTGAGCTCTTGGCATTCAGTAACTGTGGCCCCCTGAGCAATTTAGTTGAATAGCCCTGGTTTATGCTGTAGTTATCCAGGCAGTGATTCACATCCTCCAGTGCATTCTTAGCTAGTTCCCTAACTTCAAACGTTTTGTGACTGTCTTGTTGCATATTTGTGTTTATTGACATGGAGAAAAAGATGCAGCAAGTTTTGGCTGATAAATGTTGCTCTCAGTAGGTGGAGAGTTTTATTGGATATACTTATTGCCCATTGCAGAAGACGAAAAGGCATTGTTTTTGTGTTGAGTTTGTGCATGTGTGTTTGTCTGTCATGTTAGCAACATATCTCACGAACCAGTGAACGTTTCAATTAAACGTTCAGAAAGCAACCATTAGATCAGTTAGAGTCAGAGAGATTTATTTGTCATTCTCATCTCATGTGGTCCATGTGGTGGAATGAAATTATGTACGCAGGGTCCCAGTTACATCCAACAATAAAATGTAAAATAAAAACAGTAATAAGATCTAAGATATGAACTAAGAAAAACATCAGCTAAAAGCTAAAAATAGCATAAAAACATTACGTCGAACAGCAGCACGACCATGAGTCTGTGTGAGCAGATGAGCACGAATGAACACAGCAACATGAAACAGATCAGCAGCAGCATGAAACAGATCAGCAGCAACATGAAACAGATCAGCAGCA